AACAAGGTGAATGAACTGCCACTGAACTGGACACTTAAAATGGTTAAGATGGTAAATTTTATGGTATGGACATTTACCGTAATAAAAAATGTTTCCCCAATTTTCTTTTACACGTGCAGCTACATAAATACGATAATCAAATTAATTTTTTATAGATAGCCATTGTATTCCTTTTAATGTTTATTTTTGTGTGTGAGAGAGAGAGAGAGCACGCGCACGAGTCCACACATGAGAAGGGGAGGGGCAGAAAGAGGGAGACAGAGGATCCTAAGTGGGCTCTGCATTGACAGCAGACAGCCTAATGCAGGGCTCAAACCCACGAGCCAGGAGATCCCCACCTGAGCCAAGATCAGACACTCAACTGACTGAGCCACCCAGGCACCTCACCATTACATTTTTAAACACCGTTTAAATGCCAAGGAGCATCCTACTGAAGAGAACGGTTTCATAAATTAAATGATTTAAAAGTGGGGGAAAAAAGGTTAAAATGGTAAATGGTGTTATGTGTATTTTACCACAAAAATAAACCAACAACCCCTCAAAAGACTAATTACATGGAGTTTACAAGAAAATAACTCTAAGTCATAAAGAAATGGAAGAAAGGAAAAGGACAGGAAAAGATACAGCATGCAAACACTAACCGAAAGCAAGCTTGTGTAGCTATATCAATAACAAAATTTAAAAAGGGACATTTTAATGACAAAAACATTTCTTTTTTTTTTTTTTTTAACATTTATTTATTTTTAAGACAGAGAGAGACAGAGCATGAACGGGGGAGGGGCAGAGAGAGAGGGAGACACAAAATCGGAAGCAGGCTCCAGGCTCTGAGCCATCAGCCCAGAGCCTTACCCGGGGCTCAAACTCACGGACCGCGAGATCGTGACCTGAGCCGAAGTCGGACGCTCAACCGACTGAGCCACCCAGGCGCCCCCAAAAACATTTCTTAATAAAAGATTCCCTTTACCAGGAAAATTTTGGCCTCAAAAATCTGTAAAGCAGAAACTAACGGAATTACAAAAGTAAAAACAAATCCACAGAGAAATTTTAACATACCTCTCTTAGTAATCGATAAAAACAAGCAAAAACATCAGGAAGAATACAGATATTTGAACCCAATCAGTAAATTTAACTAAGGACCAAACAGCACACTGTACTCAACGACCTGAGAATCCACATTCTTTGCAGACACACACAGAAAATTTTCCAGAAACCAGACCATTTGCAAGACTCAACAGACCTCCAAGAAATGAAATAACAGATTGCATTCCTTGACCATGGTGAAACCAAACTAGATATTAACAACAACTTAATTTTCTAATAACTAGAAAAGCCCTTATATGTTTGAAAAAAATTTTTTAAATATCTCACCTCCACAAAAGTTAGCCCAGAAATCAGATTCCAAACAGTCTCTTTGGTGCCCAGGAGTTTTCTGTACCTGAGAACAATGCACTGAGCTAAGACCCCAAGCTGGTGCAAGGTGTGCCTCCAAGCAGAAGGGCAACTGAGAACAGGGATATGAGAAAGGAACACCTACCCTCCTGCCCCTGGTATGTTCATAGGGAGAGGAGTTTCAGGAAAGAGTACACACAGAAGTTGAAACCTGGAAACTGATTCCTACAGGACTATCTGGGCCTTAGAAAGTCTTTGCACGTGGCAGATTGAAGACTGTAGATCAGTGGAGGGAAATACCAAAAGAGAGACAATATAAAGCCTCTGAAGGATTTTAAGCAGGTGCAGGTGAAGTACCAGCTGGAACGGACTTAGAAGCTGATTTTGGAAGGAGGACTCGACAGCCGTGGTTTTCCACCCTAGCTGCACAGCTGAGCCAGCTGGGGAGCTCAGAAATCTTAATGCCCTGACCCTCCCCCGAGCCAATTAAATCAGAATCATGTGGCAATCACAGAGCATTTTACACTTAGTGGTTTCCACGTCCTTGCAACTAGTGGAAGGCAGAGCTAATCCAATAATTAACTGATACATCATCATTCTGATGAAAGATCACTACATGACTTTGAGTTTATAAACCAACAGAAGTTTAAAATATTGAGTGTCCCTGCTATATCTCCATCTACTATTTAAGTAAACACAGATTCTCAGCATTCACATCTATAAAAACACAAAGTAGAAGTGGTGCTGAGGCCTGTCTCATTCTGACAATAATACCCATCCAGACAAGGACTGGGGGGACAACAGCTTATTAAGATGCATTTCAATAAATTTTTACTTTTACAATAATTATCTCAAAATTGTGTAATGAATTTATTTTGACCAACTGTGTATCAATAATAATTGTAACACCCCCCCATATTAAAACTTAGTTTCAAGGTCCCAACAAAGTTAAAATGTTAATTTTTTTCTAATTTATTTTTATTTTAGAGAGAGAGAGAATGGAGGAGAGGGGCAGGGAGAAAGAGAGAGAATCTTAAGCAGGCCGCATGCTCTACAATGAGCCCGACGCAGCACTGGATCCCAAAACCCTAGGATCAAGGCCTGAGCTGAAACAGAGTCAGATGCTCAACCGAATAAGCCACCCAGGTGTCCCCAAAGTTAAAAGGTTTAAATTATTATGCTTATTTTAGTTAGAGAATAGAACAAGCTAATCAAGAAGAAATTTTCAAGCATTAAATACATGGCATAGGATAAAATTGTGTGGGATGAGATGAAAACACACATTGAATTAAAAAAACTGATGTATAATTCAGGCTGGTTCACAGTGTTTAAAACACACAATTGAAATATTTAGATTCCACTGAACATACTGAAGAGTACCAAACAGCTTTATTTTAAAATGGCAATATTTAAATATGCTAGAAACTACATCATTTGCAAATATTCAAACTTACAATAAGTAATTTGGGATACGAACTTTTAAAAAGCACAAGAGGATATATACTTTCAGACAGTACATCAGCCAAAAAAGGTCAACCACCACCTCTGCAGCCTCCACACAAGGCTCCTCAAGATGGGGCCCAATCAGCCCCTTGGGCATCCCCCTATGTCCTGTGCTCCAGTCAGTCTTGAGACTTCACCTTGGGGCCACTCCATGGTCTGGACCTCTCCACTGAAACAGCACAGCTGTGTTTTTCTCTTTGCTCAGAGAACAGCAGGTGCTTAGGAGTGTTTGCTAATTCAGTCCCTCTCCCAGGTGGGGGCACGCAACAAAGAAAAGTCCAGAAACCAGCTCTCCAGCCCAGTAAAGGAAGAGGTGGTTCTTGGGAAGCACTAGGCAGAAAATTCTAAGACTTCCAAGCAATTTCTTTCAAGATTTACAGGAAACATTCCAACCTTTTAAGAATAACTGCAGGGCCAAATAGGAAAGGCCCTAGAACTGAATAGGGATGTGGGGGAAGAATAGTTACATTCCAGACTAAAAATCTGATGTAGTATAGAATCCTCTCAGCCCTGTGACATTGCCACACCACTGACAATGCCAACCAATAGTTATATATACAACCATAATTAAGTTACTTGTAGCTGAACCAATTTCTAATAGTTCTAGTCCTATTTGTACCTTCCTTAAAAAATAAAAAATTTAATGCTATACTGAACTCACTTCCATAAAAAATGTAACACTACAGTATAATTTTTTAAAATTATCTGGAAGCCCTAAGACAGAATAATGTGACAGAATGTGACTTGGGGAGATAAAGTAGTTAATGAAATACTGAGTGGGTGGCACTCAAGCTGAGACACACCAGATGAGAAAGAACCGGGCAGGCATGAAGAGCCAGAAGGCAATGTGCCCAGACAGAGAGAACAACAAGTGCAAAGATCCTGAGGCAAGAAAGCAGCCAGAGAGGCTGGAACAAAATTACTAGAATGAATGGAGACACCAGGCACCAGGGGCCAGACTGTATAGACATAATGCTTGTTTATCCCTTGATGAGAGACCCCAGTCTCTGAGGATCAGAGTGAAAGCTGAAGAAAGTAAACCAGATGTCCCTAGCAAAGGAGAGGAGGAGTGGAAGAGACAGGCAGATGAGGCAACACAAGGACAGCGTAGTCTCCCAGAACTTAATGAGGAAGCCACTCAGAATGGACCAAAGAACAGGGTGGAGAAAACTAGGACAATGGCCAACAGCTTAAGCCATGGGAAGAGTTGGAATCAGGTAGCCAGGGGCAGCATCTGCCCCAAGCTGTGACCCAGCCCAAAATTATTCCCCTTTCACCCCTTTCCTGACCTCGACCTCCTCAGTGTGGAGTCTGTGTAGCGACTTATCTTGGCCACTAGTTATGTATGACATGCCAGTGACACTCGAGGTTCCCTAACCTCTAAAGCAAAAGTCACAGAAATTAAAACTGCCTACAAGTCCAGCTCCTCTATACCACTGATGACAAGATCATCAATGAAACACTGGGGAAATGGATGGAGTCTGCAAGTATTTCTAAGGGATTCCTCCACCGTACAGGGGTAGGGGGGTCAAGTGTAGCAAGTGAATTGCTGGGCTTAGATATCAGACAGATCAGAATTTAAACGTTTATACCATTCGCTGTGTTAGCTCTGTATAAAGCCACAATAGCCAACTATTTCAAACAGCCTGTTTGAAAATTAAATACAATAAGGCATCATAAGGCCAGTGCCTAACACACAGAAACCACCCAATAAAGATGTTCATTCCATTTATCCCACTGTTGAGGGTTCAATTCAGACAGCCGGAGAGTTCCGTGCTTACTAGCTACGTGACTTTGAGAAAGGCACTTTCAACTCTAAGCCTCAGCGTAGTCAGTAAAATGGAAATAACATCACTTACTTCACAAGGCTTTTGAAGAAACTAAATGAGAAAGGTGGAAAGTGTCAGGTACAGTTCCTGACACGTCGTAGCTTCAATAGTCATTACCTGTTAATGTCACCACTGATGAGCGTTACCAAGATGAGGAAGACCTGGGTGGGAGAGAAAGGTGCCAAGCAAACCTTCGAACTAAGCTCAGGTCTGGGTGCTGCAGAGACTGGGAGTAGTGGCTTACTTAAGGGTATACCTAACCTCCTGGGAGCCACTCACCTGGTGGTTCCAGATAGAGCCCTCTTTGCTGCGCTCATCAGGGGTCAAACGCACGTACTGGCTCGTGAGTATAGTGCTGCCTTGGAAATCCCAGAGAGGCATGGAGCTGGAACCGACCCCTGTGGGCAGAGACGGACAGAGACAGGTGCGTAAGAAGCCATTCCAGGACTGGCCTTGCCAAAGACAGGAAACCCACAAAGCTGCTTTGCTCAGGAGAAAGGAACTCCCTTGTCCAACCCTGTCCAGCCTCGCCCTCACCCAGCACCCATTCCCGCCCCAGGCCTCACCTTGGTAGGGCTTGATAAGCGAATGCTCCCGCTTGAGGTGTTCACTGTTGCCGTCAGTTATATCTGCAACAACCGGCCCCAGCAACAGAAAAAGAAGTAGAGGTGTAGTGGGGCCAGGGCCAGGGCCGGGAAGCCCAGGCCTCCCCGGGCACCGCCGGCCCCAGCCCCAGCGGCAAAACCAGCCTTCCGCCGCCATTCTCCGTTCCTCTCGGCCACTTCCGCCCTGGGACTTCCGCCTTCCGGGTGTCCCATCTAATGGCCTCCGGCCGGAAACCCTCCAAACCTAGTGTCGCCGGGAAGTTAAAAAAGCAAGGCCTCGCAGCCGGAGGGAAGGCGGCTTTATTTACCGACCAGCTCCCCCAGCCTGGTCGAGTGCTGTTACATCTCCTTAGCGGCTGCGAGGAACCTGTCGGCCAGCTTCGGCAATGGGTTCTTATGCGCGACAAGAGCTGCAACCAATCATTGAACAGCACGTTAAGCTTGTGAGCCAACGAGGAACAGAGGGATGGTTTCAGTCAGGGGAAGAGCGAGGGTCCTCTGCGAAGCGAGGCGTGCTGGGACTTGTAGTTTTTTGGGTCTTTCGCGCAGGCTGGAGAGACGAAGACTACAACGATTCTGTCAACCTGCCGGTGATCGAGTCTGGACTAACGTTTCTCAGAATTGAAGGCGGAGGCCTGAACTCCAACTCCTGTGCTCCCTCGGACTCACTGGATGGCCCTAGCTAGTTTTCTTTAGCCGTTTGTGGCCCCACCGCTCCCCAGCATCCCGCCTTCAGAAAAATAGAGGGTGTACACAGTCCCAGCTCCTAATACCCAATCGAGTTTACGCAGTAGGAGCAGACCGAAATCCTGTCCGGGACCCCAGTGTTAGTTGGGACCCATCTGGATCCAAACCATGTTAATGCCCATCTGCTGCAGCTGGAAGCAGCAGCCCTTAAAGGTTGAGGAAAGCTGACTGTGGGACAGAGGTCAAAAACTGCTGGCCTACAGCCGGATAGGGCTCTGTTTTACCTGCTCATGCTATTTCTTTTTTTTTTTTTTTTTAATTTTTTTTTCAACGTTTATTTATTTTTGGGACAGAGAGAGACAGAGCATGAACGGGCGAGGGGCAGAGAGAGAGGGAGACACAGAATTGGAAACAGGCTCCAGGCTCTGAGCCATCAGCCCAGAGCCCGACGCGGGGCTCGAACTCACGGACTGTGAGATCGTGACCTGGTTGAAGTCGGACGCTTAACCGACTGCGCCACCCAGGCGCCCCTGCTCATGCTATTTCAATACATGATTCAAATATCGATATTTTTGGTTTGGTTTGGGTTTTGTGGGGGTTTGGGGGGGGGGAGAGGGAGAGAATTGAGTCGGGGAGGGGCAGGGAGCAAGAGAGAATCTTAAGCAGCCTCCACACCCAGCGTGGAGCCCTACTGGGGGGGCTCTATGACCCTGGGATCATGACCTAAGCCAAAATCAAGCGACTGACACCCAACCAGCTGAGCCACCCAGGTGCTGCTCAATATTTTTATCTACTTTTTATTAAAAAAAAATTTTTTTTAACATTTATTTTTGAGAGAGAGAAGCAGAGCGTGAGCAGAGGAGGGGCAGAGAGAGAGACACACACAGAATCTAAAGCAGGCTCCAGGCTCTGAGCCATAAGCACAGAGCCTGATGCGGGGCTCCAACTCACCAACCACGAGATCATGACCTGACCTGAAGTCAGACACTTAACCAGTTGAGCCACCCAGGTGCCCCTCAATATATTTTTTTTAACGTTTATTTATTTTTGAGAGAGACAATGCAAGTGGGTTAGGGGCAGAGAGAGAGGGAGACACAGAATCCGAAGCAGGCTCCAGGCTTTGAGCTGTCAGCACAGAGCCCTTCGCGGGGCTCGAACTCAGGAGCTGTGAGATCATGACCTGAGCTGAAGTCGGACGCTCAACCGACTGAGCCACCCAGGCGCCCCAATCCCCTCAATATTTTTAAACTGAGAGACTTAAATTCATATTAGAAATCCAAATTTCTAGTTTTTCAGGAAAATCTGAAGATCCAACCACACTAGGCCCATGAGGCCCCACAAAAGCTATCCTGTGCTGAGCTAGCCTCCCCTCTGGCCACTAATTTATAGTAACTCTGGCCCCTCTAGACATATGAATTAATGACCGCTGTTACAGATCAGAGGGGAGGTGGGGATCCCTTGTTGGTTGCTCCTTTATTTAAAGAAGCTGTCCCTTGCGGCACCTGGGTGGCTCAATCAGTTAAGCAGCTAACTCCTGGTTAATAAAGAAGCTGCCCTTTGGGATGAATGAATTTATCAGGGTTAAGTGCTGAGACATCTTTTCTGGATCACATATTTTTAATAAGCTTACTATTAAAGTAATATGCTCGTATACGTAATACAGAAATATAATACAACAAAAGTTCCCTGCCACTCCCCTCCCTAGGGGTATTCCCTTCCAGAAATTATATCTATACAAACAAGAATATGTATGTTCCACTAGACCTCTAGGAAGGGTGGGATTTTTGTCAGCTATGGCCACTTCTGCTGCATCCCCAGCATCTACAACAGTGCTTGGCACAAAGGAGGTGATTAATAATCAGTAAAAATATGAATATTTGTTCTAAAACCTGGAATTGGATCATGCAGAATGAGTAGGAGTTTACCAGCAAAAGGAAAGGCATTCTTAGCAGAAGGAACAGGAGATGCAAAGGCCCAGAAGGATGCTCGGGGGCATATGGGATGAAAGCAGTTCAGAATGGCTGAGGAGAGGTGGAGGAGGGTATAGCTAAGGCCAGAACTTGAAGGGCCTTCAATTTCCCAACTAAGGAACATGGCTTTTTTCCAGAAAGCACTGGGATGGTTTTAAGCATGGGAGGGGCCAACATGGTTTTCTCTGACTATGGTGAAAAGATTGGAGGGGCATAGCAGGTGGGGAGACTGAATAGCAGGTTATTATGGCCAAATGAGAGACAACAAGGCCTGAGCCCAGGAAGCCTCCAGAGGGAAGGGGGATCAGATATTAAAAATTGATCTACTGTGGGAAGCCAAGGAGAGATAAGCTGAGAACAGTGTTCTGTGGGCTGGAGGTACCCCACTGCTCTCGTGGAGTGGAGAAAATTAGATAAGGACTAAGAGATGGGAAGTTCTGGGTTGGCTGGGGTCCCTGGGGTAAAGATGTGGTCAAAGGTAAAATTGGTATCCATAGTTCAGAGGTGGGCAGAGGAGAGGATGACCTTAGCAGGGGTCAGAGACTGTAAATGGGCCTTTTCGGGGAGGAAGATGAGGTCTTGGCACCTGGGCTTGTGATGGCCCAGGAGCAGCTCCTGGCACCCAAGCACACTTATTCACAACAGTCTCTGACTTGATGTGTAACCTTGGGGAACTCATTTGTCTCCAAGTCTCAGTTTCCTTATCTGTAAAATGTAAATAATGAGCACCACTCACAAAGAGGTTGTGAGGAACAAATGAAGTTGGGAGAAGCCCCTGTAAATGGTAACACCCTTTATGAAGCCTCGGCCCAGGTCCATAGCCCAGCAGACAGACAAGCAGTCTCCACTGACATCATACACTCCATAAAACCCTCACAGGCACATTGACATTGTCATGTCAATGGCACCTTATTAAGACCACTGCTGGCAATGCTCCAGGCTCCAAATCAACCCCCAATATACACACCAAGTCTGACTGAATCCCTCTATCTGGGTGGCCTGGAGCAAGGTGTCTGGAGAGAGGTGAGTCAGGGCTGAGTGAAGAGGTATATTAAGTAAGGTAACACTAGCTGCTATCAAAAATAGACTTTAATGTGTAAAACACCTCAAAGTTTATTCCTCACTCTCATAACAGCACAAAGCTAGTGTTTCTGGTTAATGGGTGGCTTGCCTTTGTGCCCTAATACAAAGACCCTGTCTCCTTTCTTCTGTGGCTCCGCAATCCCTTAAAGCCTCATCATCTTCTGCATCCAGCCAAGCTAAAGGGGAAAGAGAGAATGTGGAGGGCACATACTACTTAAAAGTCTTGGCCCAGAAATGGTGCTCATCATCTCACTCCCATTTAATTGGTGGGCCTAGTCACATGGCCACACCTGACTGCAAATGAGCCTGGGAATTTAAAGTTTAACCATGTGCCCAGGAGGAAGAGGACATGAATTTGTGGTGAAGAGTCAGTTTCTGCCACTGAAGGGTTCAGGTCATGGCCCTAGAAGAGGGCAGTAGCGTAAAGGGTAGAAAACAGTAGAGGCGCCCAAACCAGAGTGGTGGGGGACATGAGGGCTCTAAGCCCGTACTTAGGGTAAAACAAGTCCTGTAGTGGGTATGTGCCTGTGTAAGAACGAGGCAAACTGAGGACTCTGGCTAAAGGGCCTGAGTTCAGCTGGCACTGGGTCAGGGCTGGGAAGGCATGGTGTCACTCTTCAGTCGACAGTACTACACCAAGGTGGAACTTTTATGTGGGTGGAAATGAATGCACACATGTCAAACACAGATGCAATTGATCCATTCCCCTGCCTGGGTGGGTAAGCATGTGCATACCTGCTTGCACATGTCACTGGGGTGGCTGACTACTTATACACCTATATGCAGTTGTGCCCGCCACATGTCCCTGTCCAAGGGACTGTACATACACCCAAGTGTTTCTAATGAAGGGAGAGTGTGTGTTTATAACATGCACACCTGGATGGTCTGTGTGTATATGACCATGCATGCAAAGTGGGCATCTGTCTGTACATGTGGGCACATGCCTGGGAAGTATCTGGGAATAGAGATAGTACCTCTGCATGCACACAACTGCCTGGGGGAGGGGTGTTGAGTGTGCACATGCCTGGCACACAGCAGGGGTGAGATAAGTGTGTCCTGAGTAAAATGTGTGCATACCTGGTGCACACGTACACATGTCCACAGAAGCCCCTGTCAGGGTGCAAAAAGTTGACTAAGGGTGTGAGCACACACTTCTGTGTGCCCAGACATGAACTTGGAGCTCCCTTGGCTGGGCCAGACCAGGCTGGGCCACTTCCTGGACACATACAGGCCTCTGGCAATGTGTTGGTGACAGTGTGGGGCACTGCTAAGAGTGCATTGTGGCATGTGTGTGTGCGCATGTGAACGTGTGTGTGTGTGTGTGTGTGCATGTAGGAAGAGGCGTGCGCTCACTTAGACCTTGCTTCTTTCTGTGGTTCGGTTTCTATAGAGACACTTCCTGTGGCAGAGAAAAGAGGTAGTGAGCTGGTGTTTCAGGATGTGAAGGCCCACAGGAGCGGAGCTGGGCTCTCTCTGTTGCCTGCCTGCCACCGTGCAAGCTTTGGCCGGGGCTGCCCACAGTCCCCATGGTGGGCACTCCTCACGGCAGGGACTCGTGAACAGCAACGGCATGCCGGGGAAGCCCAAGCACCTGGGCGTCCCCAACGGGCGCATGGTGAGTGTGGGCTCCA